GGTGATTTTGCCCCCTATGGCCTTTGGGGGGGCTGGGTGAGCCTCCAAATGGTCCTAGGTTGTGTTCCATAAGACGGACCTCTCCATAAGGCTCACCAATTTTTAGGAGAAGAAAACAGATTTTTTTTCCTGTTTTCTTCTCCTAAAAATTTGGTGTGTCTTATGGAGAGGTGCGTCTTATGGAGCAAAAAATACGGTACCCTGTTAGCTACTCAGCTATAATAGTCAGAAAACATGATGTTAAAAATCAGGCTACTGTCCTGGATTCAATTTTATCTCCCCAAAACTGGAAGAAAATAGAGTCACAGAAACAAGAAAAGGGTACTGAGAAAATATGGGAAGTGCTAGAAATTGATATTTTTCAGGCAGGCTGAATGTATGTCCAAGACAGAAGGAAATTGAAAGAGGGGATGTATTTTATAATTGGTCTCGATTTCCTGATAGAGTTGGAATAACTTAGATTTAAATTAAAACATGAATATAAGCTGATATTTAGAGGATAACCAAACAGTATATTTATATATAAAAAAGAATATAAAGTTGTGTTTTTTGCATTGAAAAATGAATAGATTAGATGCATGTATACCTAATATGAATAGATTGGATGATTGTATACTCTGTGTTCTCCTATCCTTAAAACCTTTTCCCATTTGTAGCGGGCCACTCTCAAGCCTCTACCAATACAGGCCTCCAAGAGTGCTCACTACTATTCTTCACTTGCTGCCACCAACCTATCCTTAGTACTCACAAAGGACAAGTTTTTCTGTCAAACAAATAAAGTGTTTATTGATTTGTACAAAATAAAAAGGGTGAATCACAGGGAATAAATCAAGTTGTTAATCACGTTTCTCAATTAATAGATCAGACAGACTTTTCCCTCACTATATGTCTCAAATCTATCTCACTCTCTCAATCAACTTCTCTCAGCTTTTCAAACTCTCCAAAATTCTCTCTTTCACACATCACACACACCTTATATAATCCAGCTCCTCCCCCTTCTGCACCACCCTCCGTCCTCTCATTGGTTGATGTTCCCCTGCCCAGCTGTGACGGACAGGTCAGAGCAGAGCTGTATGCCACACATCCCTTACACTTCCTTTTACCTTTTGTATCCCTTACCCTATCCCTAGTAGTTTAAAAATAAAATATTTAAATAGAAGAAAGTAGGGGGGCAAATCCTCTCGTGTAAGGATCTGTCAGTAGAAACCCAAGTTCATCAACACGATTGTATTTCTAATTATTATGTATGAATGTGAAAGTTGGACCATGTGGAAAATGGACAGGAAAATAAGTAGCTTTTTAAATTGTTTTTCTTTCTTTCTTTCCTTTTATTAAAAACAAAACCATATTGACTTAGGTATTCAGTTGATTGTCTTACAATAATGTATTTGTTTACACAACTCCTTTAAAGGTTTCTCACTAAAGAGACTCCTATGTCTTCTGTGACATTTGGTTTAAAAGTGACTAATTGCCTTCCAGATTTGAAGAATTCCTGCACAGAAAGTGGTCTTCTGAAAAACGTTTTGGTTTGGAAGGATGTGAAGTTCTGATCCCCGCTTTGAAGACAATAATTGACAAGTCAAGTGAGAAAGGAGTGGACTATGTGATTATGGGGATGCCACACAGGTACTGTTTCCTGGGATACTCTGTTTATCAGAAGAAAAGCTTGTAGTGCAAAAAAATTCTTAGTTTGCAAACTCTTCCTGAATAGAGATGGCCTGAGTTGATGTCTTGGTCCTGCTTTGGCCCAACTTTGGTGATACTTGGCAAGTTATTATTTTCTTATCCTCAGTGCACCACTTCAAATTAAAATGGTAGATTGCTATCTCAACGGGTTGCCATGAAAGCAAATACAGTGTCGCATGAATGATAAATAATAGTGATGGGAGTTCATTTGAACCCAAAGTACGATAATCCACTTTATTTCCAAGGGGACGTGTGGCAGAATGAATAGAATGTTGTCTCCAGATAAGCTTGTGGAGTGTCTTCCTATATGTTGCTTTGGTTTTCTAGAGGACGTCTGAATGTACTTGCCAATGTTATCAGGAAGGAGTTGGAGCAAATTTTCTGCCAATTTGATTCCAAGCTTGAAGCTGCTGATGAGGTGAGTTATCTATTTAATCCACATGTGAAGTGTGATTTTCCTACTTCACAGGATTCCTCCTCATACTGAAATATTATTCCCCTTTGAAAACATTTATGTTTCTTTCCTTTTTAAAGAGTCAGCTTTGACTCAAGAGCTTGCCTCCACTATTTTTGCAAATTGTGCTGTGGGGCCATTTGTGCTACTAATGTTTGGATTTTTAAAAATATGTTAAAGCACTTTCAAACAGTTTTTTAATCTGTGAAGTTGTGATGTGCTGTTGTGCAGGTAGAAGTCAATAAGAATTTTCCGGTGTGCTTACATTTATATGTGGCTGAATTTTAGGAGTGTGTAATACAGTCGGAGATCCAGTAATACAGATGTTTCCAGTGAGATGCTCAGTGACCATGCCTGCCCTTGGTACCATGCTGATTTTTTCAAAAACCTTTTTTTCCCTTTTTTTTAATGGAGGAGGTGTGTGCTACAAAACCAAGTATTGTCACTGAGTGTGATCATTCTTAGAAATTAAAAATTGCATATGCCTGCATTTCATTTTGAAGCTTACCCAGCAACACAGGGGGAAAGGATAATACAGCTGATGCCATAGAGCTAGAAAGGATGCCATGAATATCAGGGGGGCTAGAGGATGTCAGCCTTTTTCTGAATTACAGTGGTGCCTCGCTTAGCTAGAGGATGTCAGCCTTTTTCTGAATTACTTGCTTCTGGGCTACAATATATCAGGCCAAAAACTAAAGAAAAATAAATAAAGACCAAAAAATTGTGGCACCTTAAAAACTTACAGCAGTTAGTCTTCAAGGTACTACAATGTTGTCTTCTTTCTTTCTTTCTTTCTTTCTTTCTTTCTTTCTTTCTTTCTTTCTTTCTTTCTTTCTTTCTTTCTCTTTCTTTTTCTTTCTTTCTTTCTTTCTTTTGTTTTTTGTTTGTTTGTCTTGTTTGTTTTTCACATGATATGCTAGCACAGACTAACATGGCTGCTACCTCTTCAAAAACTGGGCTGTGTTAATTCCTATTTTAAAAAATGGATGCTGGAGCAGAAAACAGGGTTTTAACATTTTGGTTCTTAGGAGCTTATATCCCACCCTTCCCTTGTACCTAGATTCTTGGGTAGATTTTCTTTCTTGGTTTCATCCATTTGCTTTCCGAGGAATGGGTGTTTTGAGGGTGGCAATGCCTTCCAAGGTAGCGATTTGTGAGACCTTCCATACTTCCTCAGAATTCTAATGGCATACAAAAGGTGGAAGGGCTCCTGTCACAAAACCCTCTTCTCCTCATTTACATCATTCCATGTAACAGTTGACTTTTTAAGACCCCTTGCATTTGTTAAAGTAACACAGGTTGTAACAGCAACAAGCTTAGTTAGAGCTAAAATTTTATGCACAGACAGCTTCCTGCAGATACCGAATTTTTCCGTGTGTAAGATTATACTTTTTCCTAAAATAATTACTGCAAAAATTGAGCATTGTCTTATACACGGAAGTATGCTGAAGCAGCAGGCGGAGGCAAAGGAGCAACCATGCTCAGCTGCCCCTCACAGCTGCCCATTGACTGTGGCTGCAGCCACCTTCTTGCCTCCTCCAGCGCCACTCGCGGGGCTCACCTCAAACTCACGCCACCGCCTTGTCCCCTGCCCAAAGGGAGCCCACGAATGGTGCTATTGGGCAGCGGTGGCAGCCAGAGGCAGAGGCGAAGGACCAGCCCCACTTGGCCACCCCTCGTGTTTGCTTATTGACTGCAGCTGTGGCTGTGCAATCGCCTCCTCCAGCGCCACTCATGGGCTCCCTTTGGGCAGGGGACAAAGCAATGGCATGAGCTTGAGGCGAGTCCCAGCAGTGGCGCTGGAGGAGGTGATCGGGCGGCCACAGCCACAGTCAATGGGCAGCCGCGAGGGGCGGCTGACCGCAGCTACTCCTTTGCCTCTGCCTCCCCCTCCGGTTGCTGCCAGGGTCAAAATTGGGGGTCATCTTACACATTCGGGGGGTCTTATACATGGAAAAATACGGTAAGTCCATTTTGCAAAATCCTGTTAGTATTGGCACATATTGAAATCCAGGGTAAGCAGATCTTTAAGGAACAGCACTGCCCTTTTTCCACCCTATTTTGTTTTCTGGACATATTTGTGCTCATTCTAAAGGTGCACTCTGCGTATCTTCACATTCTAATTCTAAATAACTTCCTTCTTTAAAAAATGAAATTGTAACTAGAGATGGGCATGAACCACTGATTAGGTGGTTCAGTCCAGCAACAGGTGCTTGGTGGTTTGCGCCCCACCCCCTCCAGCAGAAGCAGCATTCCAGCTTCCCTGCCCCACCTCCTCCGGGTGCTGGGTGGGTGCCCACTGAGATGGGTGGGGTGCTGTACCCTGAACACTTGTGGCAGTGGTAAATGGTCCGGGCTGAACTGCCGAACCAATGGTTCGTGCTCATCTCTATAACCTTTCTGAGGGTATCTGAAGAGTCACAGCATCCAAAACCTGTAAATGTTTGTTGTTTGTTTGTTTATTTGATTTGATTTGATTTGATTTATATCCCACCCATCTGGTCTGGTCGACCGCACTGTTAAAGTTGCTCTTTTTCTTTCTTTCTTTCCCCCAGGGTTCAGGGGATGTAAAGTATCATTTGGGAATGTACCACCGGAGGATTAATCGTGTCACTGATCGGACCATCACTCTTTCTTTGGTTGCAAATCCTTCTCACTTGGAGGCTTGTGATCCAGTTGTTCAGGGCAAGACAAAAGCAGAGCAATTTTATTGTGGGGACACTGAAGGGAAGAAAGTAAGTTGATAAATATATAAAGTGTGGTACTTTCCAAGAGGGAAAAGATACCAAAATACTGTGTTCAACACAGACCTTCTCCAGCCAAGAACCTCTCTTAAAGTGACAAGAGAGCCTGCAATTAGCTCTCTTAAAATATCATTGCTGCAGCCTCTGAATCTCTTTCTCTCAGATTAGTGCTTTGGAATTACTGGCAAGCAGTTTATTTATTTATATATTTTGGTTCTCAAAGGTGATGTCCATCCTTTTGCATGGAGATGCTGCTTTTGCTGGGCAGGGCATTGTTTATGAGACTTTCCACTTGAGTGACCTGCCTTCCTATACAACCCATGGAACAGTTCATGTGGTGATGAACAACCAGGTAAAATGTGGATCCCTTTGTGGTGATTTTTAATTTCTGCCTCCAGTTTTAAGTTTGCCAAAAGAATGGTGGTCTTCTGAGTTGATTTTTTAAAAAAACAAAAGCATTTTCTGCATTCTTAATAAAATTTTGGTGTTATTTTTAGTTGTGGAGATTTTAACTACAGTGGTGCCTCGCTTAACGAGCACCTCGCTGAGCAATGAAATCGCTTAACGAGGCGCCTATGGGGATTTTTCACTTTGCGATATTCGCTAAGCGATTTGCTTAGCGAATATCGCATAACGAAGCGGGGGAGAACAGCTGATCGGCGGTTCCAAAATGGCCGCCGGAAGGTCCGCGCCGCATTTTCGCGCCCTGCCCTCGCTTACCGAGGGCGCGGAAATGGCGGTGCTATGGCAGAACTTCATTTAACGGTGAGTTTTCAAGCCTTAGGAACGCATTGAACAAAGTTCAATGCATTTCTATTGCTTTTTTTATTCCGTTTAGCGATGTTTCGCTATAGCGAAGGTTAATCCGGAACGGATTAACCTCGCTATGCGAGGCACCACTGTACTGTCTACTGATACTGGCTTTTCCTAGTTCTTCCAAAAATATGTGGATGCTCAAATGTAGAGGACTTGCTAACTGCTGAGTGATGTAGCTGAGCTTGAGTTAAACTGAGTTCATATAGAAAGCTTTCAGAGCTAATTCATTGTCCAGCTTAGCCTCTTAATCATGCTGGTTTGGATAGCTCTGATTCTCCCACACTTTCTGAGCATTTGGCACTCTTAGTGAAAGGAATCTAGTTTGTCTTGTCTTTCCCAAATGCACACTCTCTGAAAATAAAATGCCTTCAAAAAGGGACTGGTCTCCACTACTCTTGCTCTTTTATATTTTTCTCTCCTCTCCATTTTCTCAAATGAACCATTGAAAATCTGTTTTAGAATGTATGGTGTTGTTTTTCTTCACCACCACACACATTTTCTGTGTTATCCTCTTTCTCATGTTACTGTTAACATTAAACCAGATAAATTATTGAACGCTTAAAGAAGAATAGAATAAAAGATAGAAGCAAGACTGATCCTGCATAACCTTGCATGTTGTTGTTGTTGTTTAGTTGTGTCGGACTCTTTGTAACTTCATGGACCAGAGCACGCCAGGCCCTCCTGTCTTCCACTGCCTCCCAGAGTTGGCTCAAATTCATGTTGATCGCTTCGATGACACTGTCCAACCATCTCATCCTCTGTCGTACCCTTCTACTCTTGCCCTCATATTCTGCCAACATCAGGGTCTTTTCCAGGGAGTCTTCTTTGCTCATGAGATGGCCAAAGTATTGGAGCCTCAGCTTCAGGATCTGTCCTTCCAGTGAGCACTCAGGGATGATTTCCCTCAGAATGGATAGGTTTGTTCTCCTTGCAGTCCAGGGGACTCTCAAGAGCCTTCTCCAGCACCTCAGTTCAAAAGCATCAATCCTTCGGCGGTCAGATTTCTTTATGGTCCAGCTCTCACTTCCATACATCACTACAGGAAAAATCATAGCTTTGACTATTTGGACTTTTGTTGGCAAGGTGATGTCTCTGCTTTTTACGATTCTATCTAGCTTTTTCATCGCCTTCCTCCCAAGAAGCAGGCGCCTTTTAATTTCGGAGCTGCTGTCACCATCTGCAGTGATCATGGAGCCCAAGAAAGTAAAATCTGTCACTGCCTCCATATCTTCCCCTTCTATTTGCCATGAGATGATGGGACCAGTGGCCATGATCTTAGTTTTCTTGATGTTGAGTTTCAGACCATTTTTGGTGCTCTCCTCTTTCACCCTCATGAAGAGGTTCTTTATCATCTGCATATCGGAGTTTGTTGGTATTTTTTCCGGCAATCTTAATTCCGGTTTGGGATTCCTCTTGTCTGGCCTTTCGCATGATGTATTCTGCATATAAGTTAAATAAGCAGGGGGACAATATACAGCCTTGTCGTACTCCTTTCCCAATTTTGAACCAATCAGTTCTTCCATATCCACTTCTAACTGTTGCTTCCTGTCCCACCTATAGATTTCTCATGAGGTAGGCAAGGTGGTCAGGCACTCCTATTTAATTAATTAATTAATTAATTAATTAATTAATTAATTAATTAATTAATTAATTAATTAATATGCCGCCCACACTACCCAGAGGTCTCTGGGCGGCTTACAACAATTAAAATTCAATACAGTAAAAGATAAAATAATTAAAATACAATTAAAATACAATTAAAATTGCCATCAGACCCACAAACTATGGCAAGTTCTTTAAGAACTTGCCATAGTTTGCTGTGGTCTACACAGTCAAAGGCTTTTGCTTAGTCAATGAAGCAGAAGTAGTTGTTTTTCTGGAATTTAGCTTGTACTTCTGGGAGTTCTCGGTCCACATACTGATGAAGCCTGCCTTGGAGGATTTTGAGCATAACCTTGCTAACGTGTGAAATGAGTGCAATTGTACAGTAGTTGGAGCATTCTTGGCACTGCCCTTCTTTTCCAATCTTCTGGCCACTGCTGAGTTTTCCAAACTTGCTGGCATATTGAGTGTAAGCACCTTAACAGCATAATCTTTTAAAATTTTAAATAGTTCCACTGGAATGCCATCATCTCCACTGGCCTTGTTGTTAGCTGTGCTTTCTAAGGCCCACGTGACTTCACTCTCCAGGATGTCTGGCTCCAGGTCAGCAACCACACTATCTGGATTGTCCGGGATATCCAAATCTTTCTGGTATAGTTCCTCTGTGTATTGAGAACACATAGAGAAGACCATTTTTCTAGTGGTTAAACTCACTTCTCTGATTGTGAGAGTATTTTAATACCTGAAGTTTTAAAACATACTAGTAAACGGCTTAGTTATTTTGTTTATCTGAATTGTGTTGGGTGAGGACCATCCACTTATATGGTTATGATAATCTAATCATAACTGAATAGTTCACGAAGAAGGTTGTCTATGCTGGCCAATATGTTTATATTGGAACATACTTCTTGGAGATAAAGTCCTTATTGAATAGGGACATTATAGGTTTTCTGTCATGGAGAAAGAAGTTGGTCTGGAATGAGCCCTGCCTCATTCAGAGCCAAGGCAGATACTGATACTTCTTCCTGCAGGTGAGGCCTCCCCAAAGATCTTAAGTTCCTGCCTTATCAAGAGAGACAGTTCTGTGCTTGCCCTTGAGCCATAGCTTTTCCAAAAGGGAGGGGCAGGCATTAAGAAGGAAGGAGTTAGCAGCCATCAGCAACAAAAAAGATGGGCAGGATAGCTGAGGGCTAACACTTAAAAAGCAATTCCCAGCATCCTCAGCCATTGACAGCCCCAATTCCTCAGTGTTAAATCAAACTCTTAACAGATAGGGAACTATTTGGTGAAGCAATTTCCATGATGTAATTTTAAAAAAATGCAGGCTATCTTTCCTCAGTAAACAGTACCAATCAGTACTTGGAACAGATAAACTGACCAAGTTAATAATGGCAAGAGAAACTTAGAACAGGAAAGGAAAAAAACCATAGGCCTGTACTACCTAGAGTACAAAGCACTCATATTGTAATATTTAGGGTTTTGGTTTTGATCTTTGGTTTTTTGCTTTTCTGGTAATATGGGAATGGTGTGTTCTTGAGGGCCTGCTGTCTTAAAATGTTGCTTAAGCAATCAACTTTTTTCTAAAGTGCATGAAACATTTTAGTCAGTATTGATGATATAATCCCCAAATAGCTCTTACATGGATCTTTAATTATCTCCCCTTTTCTTACCTGGGCCTCTATTGCCTTCTCCAGATTGGATTCACTACTGATCCCCGTATGGCTCGTTCTTCTCCATACCCAACAGATGTAGCTCGGGTGGTTAATGCACCCATTTTCCATGTGAACGCTGATGACCCAGAGGCTGTGGTGTACGTATGCAATGTGGCAGCTGAATGGCGAAGTACTTTTCATAAAGATGTAGTAGTGGATTTGGTAAGTGGTGTTGATTCTTTGAGCATATTTCTAAATCTCTGTTGTGAGTACGCATAAGAAAATACTGAAAGGAAGGATGCATATCTTATAGTAAAAATCATGCTGCAAACCCTGTGTTTGTGTATTAGCCTAAGTATTTTTAACCCAGTTCTTTGGGCTGTGCTTTCACAAAACACTGTACAGAAGTGGGAAAACAGAGTGCAAAAAATAAGTGATCACATCAGAATAGATTTCCAGAAATCTATTGCAAAGTTGTTTGGGGATATAGGGGACTGATCAAAAGCAGGTCTTCAAGACCTGCCCGTGTACCAGATTCAGAGGGACAATGTCTGTATTGATTAGAAAGGAGTTTCAAATATGTCATGTTCCTTCTGAGACGTTCCAGTCTATAGTGCAGGGGAGGGCAACACACGCTTCTCAGCTTTTTTTTTTTTAAAGCCTTGTATAGAAGTGAACAAAAACATTGCACTTTGCTACTGAAAGAGTGGCAAACCAATCTGAAGAGGCATCTCAATTAAGGTAACTACAGGTTTTCTTGACAATGTTAAATTGAAAAATTTTCTTTTTTTAGTCTCTGGACCACACAAATGGGTCTTGTGCCCACAGGAGTTAGCAGCCTGTCAGTTCGTAGAAAAGGGAATAAAAGCTGAAATTTCTTTTGGGGAAAAAAGCTTCAGAGAACAGACTTGGCAACTAAAATTAAAATTAGATTCAATTTTAAAGAAATACGTGTTTTTCCTTCCAATGTGCTAGGTGTGTTACAGGCGCAATGGGCACAATGAAATGGATGAGCCAATGTTCACCCAGCCATTGATGTATAAGCAGATCCGAAAGCAGAAGCCTGTGCTCCAGAAATATGCAGAGACATTGATTTCACAAGGAGTGGTAAATCAACCTGAATATGAGGTACTTTCATGCATGATATGATTGCCAGTTCATAGAGTGACCTCTCATGACCGTCTAATGATACCTTATTGCAACTTCTTTCTTTTTTCATTTTTCTTTGAATTCTTAAAAGAGATGGAGTAGAGAAGTTTAAATGAGGTCAGAAATGCAGACTAAATATTGCAAATGCTGTTATACAAAGCGTCTGCTATTTTAGCATATGTCAAGATGATAGTCATTTATTATTGCTGCAAGCAAAGTAAGGAAGTAATAGCAGAATCTGAAACCTGAACTGGCAAAGAAAGAATATAGTGTAAATCAAATCAATGGAGCAAGTTGAAGCAGCATGGAGGATGAATCTATGAGCAAGCTTATAAAAGCTTAAGTAGGATATGTAGGCTATGATAAGAACATACATACAAAACATATTCTACCCCACTGGTTATCTGTCGCTTCATGGGGCATGAGTATTATTTTGTAGTTCTGGAAGGGAGCTATCATATTAGGATGGTTGATAGCCATTTTGGATACAAGCATTCTGTTGAAATTGTTTTCTGGGGGCCTCATTTGGATTAGAGGAAGCATTTTCCCTCTCATCATTATTGACTGTCTCCAAATGATACCTTACAAGCCTGAAAAGTCCCAAAATGAAGGTGAAGGTCATTGGAGATTTTTTTCCCCCTTTTCTCCCCCCAGTTAATCGCTAGAGTGACACAGATGACTTCCTTCAACCTAACTGCTATCTAGCGCACAGAGGTCTTGTGCCTATGATTCTTCCTTATATCAGGGTTCCACAGCAGCATATGAGCAGCAAGCATCTACAGCTTTCAGTTTGTCAATGTAGGGATCATTTTCCACAACTCCCCTCTTCTTCTTCTAATCTTAGGTTATACTTGGATATATTGATTTCTTATCCCCATTTCCTTTAGTCTGCCCTATTTTGTTGTTTCTGGCTGGATAGCTCAGTGGTTTAGGTATCTTGACTGTGGAGCCAGAGTTCCCCATTGTGTCTCCTGAGAGAAGAGCTAGTCTGTGTAGCCATGGGCAAGCTGCACAGAAGAAAGGAATGGTAAACAACTTTTGTGTGTTCTCTACTTAGAAAACCTTGGTCGCCATAAGTGGGAATTGACTTGATGGCACACAGTTATTATTACTGAATGACATGGATTACATGCTTTCCTTACAAGAATAAACAGTAAAAAATTACCCTTATTTAGCAGGTTCACAACTTGATATTGTTTCCAGCTGCTGTTCTTAGCATTTCTGGACTTCAGAATTCTATGACACTTGCCAAAACTGATTTTGATATCTATTACATTGGGTCATGTAATGCAGAAATATTTAGTTCTGTTAATATTAGTCAACAGCTTCTCACTTTCCTGTCACAGTTGGAATCTTTGTAAGGTCTACCAAATATGTAGATATATGTTCTTATATAATCAAGTATGTCCCTCAATATAAGCAAACTAGTTTAGCCTATAGTGGTTATCCATTTCAGAAGACTGCTTGTGGTGGATTAAGAAATACAGTGGTGCCCCGCATAGCGACGTTAATCCATTCCAGATTAATCGTCGCTATGTGGAAACATCGCTAAACGGAATGGAAAATCCCATAGGAACGCATTAAACGAAGTTCCTATGGGGGATAAACTCACAGTTCAGTGATGTTCCTCCATAGGGGCGGCCATTTTCGCACCCTCGGTAAGCGAGGGCAGCGAAAATGGTTGCGGCAGCCATTTTGGAACTGTCGATCAGCTGTGTGAAAATGGGGCCTTTGGGAGGACCAAAGCCCCCATTTTCACACAGCCGAAGCACTTGCGGCGAAAATGCCATGAAAAAAAACACACACACAAACCACAAACATAACCCCCCCCCCAGTCCAAACCCACCCTCCATAACCCACACAAAATTTTTTAAAAAAGGACTTACCAGTCTGAAGCCTCCCGGCCCTCCACTGGTTCCGTGCGGCTGGGGGCGAGCGGCCAGGGCCCCGGCCTGCTCTAGCCTCCCGGCCCTCCGCTGCCTTTGGAGCTTTCAAAGGGCTTCCTCCAATGTCGGGGACTGATTGGCAGTTTCAAAATGGCCATCGGGTAATTAAAATGGCTCCCCGCTGTGTTTAGGGATGGATTCCTCGCTATACAGGCAGCGAAAATGGCCGCCGTGCGGAGGATCTTCGCTGGACGGTGAGTTTTGACCCCATTGGAACGCATTGAAGGGGTTTCAATGTGTTTCAATGGTTTTTTCCCGCTTTACATTGTTTTCGCTTAACGGCGATTTTCCTGGAACAGATTATCGTCGTTAAGCGAGGCACCACTGTATATTTATGAGAGAAACAGAGAGGATAGTGGTTACCTAATCATTGACTAGAATTGGCTAAAATAACTCCCTCCTCCCGCTGGGCTAAGCTCAGCCCAGCGGGAGGAGGACCCAGCGTTGCTTGCAAAGAAGGGAAACGATTCCTCCCCGCCTGGCTGAAGCAAGCCGGCGGCCAGAGAGGAATCGTCTCCCTCCTTGCAAGCAACGCTTGCAACCAAAGGCGCTTCAGCCGGCGCTTCAGAGCAGCTGTGGGAGAGATCTCGCCCTCGGTCGCTCCAACACGCCCGCCCCGAGAATGGCAGTGGGCCGGCGGTTCAGAGCGGCCGCAGGTGAGACCTCACCCGCGGACACGCCCGCCCCGAAAATGCTGGCCGGTGCTTCAGAGGGGCCGCGGGAGGCCTATGGGGAAAAATCGCAATGCGATCACTTTTGCGATCGTAAAAAACGAATCGCTCTGCGGATTCGTTGTTAAATGGGGCGCTCGTTATGCGAGGCACCACTGTAACATTGACAAATCAGGCCATTGCTGTGTAGCAGTAGCCTTTTGTTTCTTCCAGAGGGGAACTTGCTGCAGGCTGAGTTGATAAATGGTAATTGCATATTAATTCCTAAACAGGATGTAGATATAAGATGGATGTTGCTTACCTCAAAAGAACTTCTGCTCATACCTGTGCTTACTTCTTTTTTTCTTTTTTCTTTTTAAAAAAAATTTATTAAAAGAATACAAAATACACCTACTACTACAGAAAAAAAAACTATAGAATACAAAACAAAAAGAGTACAATTACCCATGTGCACCCATCACCTTCAGGACTAGCATTACACTTCATTCCATCCATTTTCACTCCAAAATTTCATTGTTTCTTCCCTCGGTGTAAACCCCCTCCCTCTCCGAAATACATGTTCTAAAAATACATTCCATATTTTCTTAAAGTCGTTATTTTTCATTTGGCCTCTACTTATTTTCATATCACATGTCAGTTTATCATTAATTGCCATGTCCCATAATTCTCTATACCATTCCTCCAAGTTAAATTGATTATCATTTCTCCAATTCCTTGCCATAATTATCCTTGCTGCCGTAATCATTATTACTATTAAATCCTTATTTTCTTTTGCCCGTTGATCTTTAATTGTATTCAATAAAGCTATTATTGGAGACATTGTAATATTTGATCCAGTTATTTCAGATATTTCTTTAAATATTAATTTCCATTCTTTCTTTCTTTTTTACATAACCACCACATATGTAAATACGTCCCCTTCTCTTTTTTGCAATTCCAACATAATGTTGAGACAGTTTTGTCTATCATAGTCATTTTAACCGGCGTTAGATACCACCTCCATATTTCTTTATAACAGTTTTCTTTTATCCTTACTGACATGTTCTTCATAATTCTCTGACCTGTGCTTACTTCTAACACCTCTTACTTCTTTCAGTGTGTTTTAGGTGTTGTTTTTGTTTTCTGTGTTTTAGTGTGGTAGTGGATCCATCTTAGTATTTGTATACTTACTGATTTTAGCTTTAAATATTGTACTTTAATGATGTAAACCACCTTGGGTCCTTGTTAAGAAGGAAGGCAGGGGAGGGAGGGAGGGAGGGATGGATGGATGGATGGATGGATGGATAAATTCTGCTGCTTGTTCATTTCAGGAGGAAATTTCCAAGTATGATAAAATCTGTGAGGAGGCCTATGCCAGGTCCAAAGATGAGAAAATCCTTCACATCAAGCATTGGCTGGATTCTCCATGGCCTGGTAGGTTGCTCTCTGCTTCCTAGCAGCGTCAGTTAAGAAGTCATTCCTCTTCATAAAGATTATACTTGCAGCTCCTGGGACCAAAAAGAGATAGATTTGCCCAGTACTGTCAATACCAAACATTTAGCGTAAGGACCATAGGATGTGGGAAATGTTACGTATTTCAGTATATTTGCACTGAAAAGAGATTAATTTGAATTTGGTGAGAAAGCTTTGTTCTTTCTGTAGATGCTACAGCAAGGAATTGACCTGTTCAGTGGTTTAATCTGACATGGTTTCTTTGCCAACTTTGTTTTCACAAAACCAAATTGCCAGTGTCCTTAAGTACTTGTTCTAGCCGCTAGAGTTTGCTTTTCCATGAACTTCAACCTCCTCTCTTTTAATGGAAGGTTTCTTCACTTTGGATGGCCAACCAAGGAGTATGACCTGCCCTTCCACTGGCTTGAATGAAGAGGATTTGGTCCATATAGGAAAGGTGGCCAGCTCAGTTCCTGTTGAAAACTTCACAATTCATGGGGGTATGACTGTCTAAATCACTGGTTTCCTTCAGATTTACTTTCAGTATAAGACTACATTGAATAGTTTCTTTTGAGAGAACCATCGATGTAGCAGCATGATGAACCTTTATGCCACAAGGTAAACTTGTAAACAGACAGTGAAGAGAACTGTAAAGGAGGCAATATTTTAAGGAAGATGTTAGTAGATGTACTATTGTGATAATATGCTCACATTGGAATTTACACATAGTCCAAGGGCTAAGAGAAGAGCAGGATGAAGAAAACCCTCATGTTATGGTACAACAGTAGGGCTGTTTCATGGCCCTTCATGAGTTTATATTACAATGAGCTAAATACTGCTGATGTTTCATTTCATCTGTTGGAGGGGCCAGCAAGAGCCCTGCATCCATAATATTCTTTGCAAATTTCCCTGAAGTCTGTTCTAGGCAAAGGTTCGGCAACTGATGGAATTTTGTTCACTGCTGACTTTTAGCTTTCTTGTGGGTAAATAATGTGGTCTGCTTCACTTTTCTTTGCTAATCTGATTTATTAGCAAATAAATTGGAATAAGACCTTGCTTCAGCGCTGATCTTTCTCTGCATTTTTAATACTTTGATCCGTAATGTAGTATTCATCACATCTCCTTTTAAGGCATGAGTGTACACAATGTTGTCTCAGAATCTGTAAGGTGAAACTGTATACTGTAAGTAACCCTTTTAGTTCCTTAGAGGCAGCCTGGAAACTCTTACTTATTTCTGCAGGTTTAAGTAGGATTCTAAAAACACGTGGAGAGCTGGTTACTAATAGGACTGTAGACTGGGCTTTAGCAGAATACATGGCATTCGGCTCTCTCCTTAAAGAGGGAATCCACATCCGACTGAGCGGACAAGATGTTGAGAGAGGAACATTCAGGTAAACTGTTCACATGGATATGTGTGTCCCATCATTCTTTAAGAGTCTCTGATATTTAATGTAAATCCTTACCTTTTTTCAGTGCATGCAGATTTACATTATGTAGAGTATTAGCAGCAGGCCACAATAATAAAGAATTGGATCAAAAAATAATCCTTGCCAGAACCATGTACAGTGGAGTCTCGACTTACGTTCGGCTCCACTTATGAACTTTTCGACCTACAGACTTCTCCGGCCGCAAAGTTTCACTTCGACTTGCGGCCGGAGAATCGACCTATGGACCAGAAGAGTGAGGCAGGGAAAGCGCCAAATTCAAATTCAGTCCATAGGCTGCAGGTCTATGCCCCGAAAGCCCAAAGCTGACAGCAGCCGCAGGGCGGCTTTCAGCTTCCAAAGCTGACAGCGGGGGAAGGTGGGGAAAGCCGAAAGCCGCTCTGCGCCCACTGTCAGCTTTGGGCTTTCAGGGCTTAGAAAGCTGGACCCGCTGGCCTTTTGTCTCCTGTCCCCGGTGCCCAGAGGGCACCGGGGACAGGAGACGCCAATGGGTACACCTTTCTAAAGCTGATCTGCCCGAAAGCTGATCTGCCCGAAAGCCACTCCGCACCCGCTGCCGGCTTTCGGGGCTTAGAAAGGTGCACCCACTGGCCTCTTGTCTCCTGTCCCCGGTTGCCTCCTGTCCCCATGGGGATGAGAGGCAGAGGACAATGGGGACAGAAGGCAGAGGGCAGCAGGTGCAGCTTTGGAAGCCCCAGATTTTTTTTTCCCTCTGGCTGGAACGAATTAAATGATTTTCAATGCATTCCTATGGGAAATGGACCCTCGACCTACGGAATTTTCGACCTGCGGCCACAGTTCCAATACGGATTAATTCCGTAAATTGAGGATCCACTGTAAATCTATGAAGGCCACAGTTAATATGCTCATGTGCACTTATTTTGTTTGGTGTTTACTTCCACATATATGTGTATGGAATTGGGCTGTATGTGTGCCTATTCAGACCTCTCACTTATTCACCTGTTGGCAGTGATGCATCTAGGTGGTGAAGCCATTGGAAACTAAAAGAAAATTATGAACTTCTGTATTGTCTTTATGTTAAAAGTGACTGACATAGGTATGGGCAAAAGAGTTGTGGGATTTTTTAATGATTAAATTTCTTGAAAGCCTGCTCTAGCCAGTGAAGCTTCACATAACTTTGGCAACATTCACAACATCTGTCAATCTCTTCAGCCATCGGCATCATGTATTACATGATCAGAATGTTGACAAGAGGACCTGTATTCCCATGAATCATCTGTGGCCGAACCAGGCTCCATACACAGTCTGCAACAGCTCACTTTCCGAGTATGGTGTCTTAGGTATGTATATCTGACTGGTTCCTACAAGAATTAAGGAATGGGAGAGGTTAGCTATCTGGTCCTGTCTCCAGTTGTTAATTGAGACCATTACAGAAAAGCACATGTTTTGAATTTGTGTCATTGCAGGATTTGAGCTAGGCTTTGCTATGGCCAGCCCCAATGCTTTAGTGCTGTGGGAAGCTCAGTTTGGTGACTTCCATAATACAGCTCAGTGTATCATTGACCAGTTCATCTGCTCTGGACAGTCCAAATGGGTGAGACAAAATGGCATGGTGCTTCTCCTTCCACATGGCATGGAGGGAATGGTAAGGAAACATTCTTGTTTTGATGAGCAACTTTTCCCCTTAGACTTAGGATTAAGTATTCCACCCTGACAAAAATTTCTCTTCCCTGCGTTGAGGTAGTAAAACTTCATAAGATGCTGGGCATATTTGGTATGCCCAGTTTCATCACACATTCATGCATGGCTAAAGAACAAGGAAGAAGTAATAAAATCTAATGTTACGGCTTCTACATTACATTCTGAGTTAGATGGCAAACTGCAAACAGTGGCTACTACTATATGTTTATAAGGCACTGAAGTTAGAAATATTCACTTGGGATAGTTTCCATAGAATTGTGGAATAAATGCTTTGTTTTCCACCAAAATACTAATTACTGCTAGTGCCTGTGCAGTTTTAACTCAGCGTAGTATTTAGCCAAAGAAAGGCACCAATCTATCTTTGTCTGATTGCAGGGCCCTGAACACTCCTCTGCTAGACCAGAGCGATTCCTGCAAATGTGCAATGATGATCCAGATGTCTTCCCGGTGAGTTATTTAGTGAAAGATTGCTTTGCATTCCTCCTCCTCCTCCTCCTCCTGTCCTCTCCTCTTCTTGTCCACATTGTACTCCAGCCATTTCTTGGGGTTTTAAAAAAAAAGGTTTCTAGAAACATCTGCAGAATATTGAAGAGGACCATGTGGAATGGCTGATGGCTGTGTTCCAGTCATGGTCAATGTGACTATGTACCTGAACTCTCAGTGAGAATCTTAGTGCTATAATGTTCTGTCTGGGTGATAAAAGTCAGTCTTTTGCTAACGATGTGTTACTTACAAGAGTGTGTTTTATTAATTTATTTTATTGTCCATCTTCATGAACAAAGGTACTCAGGGTAACTAAATGGGTTACACTGATATACAGCCAAAATGTTTCCAAAATAAATGTAGTCAGATTTTACTAATTCTGGGTCACTGAGAATGAAAATGCTGCTTAAAATTGTTGATTTGCTCTAGTTATCAAGATATACTGTTGGGTCAGTATATACAACCCTTGACTTCTGAATAGCAGAGGATAAGCAAATTATAAAGGGAAGAAATCTCAATTTAAACCAGAAATTATTAAAACACATCTTTGATTGGATCTATGAATAAATTTATAACTGGGTTTGGACAGTACTTTCTTTTCAGGCAAAACTATGAATGATGCAATCTGAAGCTGGTATTGCATCATACATGATGTGATATGAATTGCATCATGTTATTCCTAGAAGTCATGGATGATGCAGTCATAACAAAGCTTACATCACTCTGCTGAACAAATTGCCCTAGAAATCATACAAAAGCACAGTATGACCTCTATGGTTAAGAAAGCCTATCGCCTTTATTTTGCCTGCAAAATTGGAGCTCACGATAAGAGGTTGGCTCCACACGTATGCTGCAAGATTTGTGCCACAAATCTTCACCGATGGATGAACAGGAAAAGGAAATCTATGCCTTTTGCAGTGCCAGTGATTTGGAGAGAGCCAACAGATCATACTAGCAATTGTTATTTCTGCATGGTGCCTCCAGTTGGGAAAGGTGTGTTAAAGAAGAAAAAGTGGACCGTGCATTATCCAGATATTCCATCTGCTATACACTCAGTACATCTATTCACCAGAATAATTCTCACTTGAGTCAGGCGAGAAAGATGAAGAGGATGAAACTTCTGGTCCTGAACCATCATATCACCAGGACCCACATTTTCTCCCATCCTCCCCCTCTGAACCACATAGAAGGTCAACGAACTCTACCCAGTCACAAGTACCAGGGATCATTGCACGAAAAAAGACCAGCTAACGACACCCATCAACCACAGTGACAGATAATCTCCTGAAAAGGAGAAAAAGCTGTTCCCACAGCTATAAATACAGTGGTGCCTCGCTTGACGAGGATAATCCATTCCAGCAAAATCGCTGTTGAAAGAAATCGTCATCAAGCGAAAGTAAAAATCCCATTTAACTGCATTGAAAACCGGTTCAGTCTGTTCCAATGGGCGAAATACCTCAGCGTCCAGCGAAGATCCTCCATAGGGCGGCCATTTTCCGGTGCCTGAAAAGCGAGGAATCCGTCCTAAAACACAGCAGGGAGCCATTTTACACAGCGGGTGGCCATTTTGAAAGCCCAACGATCAGCTGTTTTGATTGTCGTTAAGCGAAAAATCGGTTCCCGAAGCAGGAAACCAATCATCGTGAAGTGATTTTTCCCTATTAAAACATTGTTTTGCGACTGCAAAAGCGATCGCAAAAACTTCATCATTAAGCGATTTCCTCGTCTAACGAGGTAATCGTCAAGCGGGGCACCACTGTACTCAACTATCCAACAGACAGCAACAGAGCATGGACAGAGTTCCTACTCCAGTCCTCTGAAGATGCCGGCCACAGAGACTGGCGAAATGTCAGGAAGAACAACCTTCAGAACACGTCCAAAGAGCCCAAAAAACTCACAACAACCATCACATAGAATTACTTTGTCAGGGATTTGGAATTACCCAAGAATAAGGCAAAGCTGTTGGGCTTTGTACTATAGCTGTGGAATCTCCTGGCAAGTGATGTTTAGGTTTCCATGTTCATGACCATCAAGACTTCCATTCTTCTTCATGGAAGGTTGTCTTGTAGCTTGCAACTACATTGATGATACGATGATAACCCTCAACATTGTTTATGATCCAGGCGAGTGGAGACTGTTCATTAATTCATCGAAGAAGAGTCTTAAAGCTGTTTTGCTGCATAACGGCAATATTTTACCATCAATTTCAGTTGGTCATGTATTACAACATGAAACAACTTTGGAGGTGCATAAACTATTATGCATTAGCGTTAGCGGCAGTTTTGTGGTGATTTGACGGTTGTTGCTTTCTTGCTTGGTGTGGCATTCGCCCAGGTCATGAATATTAATGGGCTATCTGCAAGTACCAGTGAGAGTGCTGGAGAGGCAGAGTCACCAGATATAAGAGTCTCTGCAGGAGGGGGAGATAGGGAGATTTGTGTATTTAGAGTTTGGAGTGGAGAGAGAGCATTAGTGGTTGAGAGTGAAGGAAGTAGGATGTTTTGTTAACGACACTGACTGTACCTTCATCACCTGCAATAATAAACAACTTCTATTTGGTTATTTTTAAAATGACACATTGCCTGGACCTCTATCATTAATAATAAACAATGTTGATGTAACCAACTGGTGGCAGCTGAACGTACCTTGTGCCCTTTCCTTGGTGAAACAACCAAGGGACAGGCGGGAACGTGACACTTGATCTGCAGACTGCTGTCTTCTCTGCGAATGGGATGATTGTGCAAGACATTCCCACTGCATCAAGATAGATTGGCCACTCTGACAGTCATTGGAACCTGGGAGGAAGAGTGTTCAGCATCCACCATTTGTTGAATCAAGGAAGATTTTGTTACCACCTTTATACATCAAGCTGGGTCTGATGAAGAACTTTGTCAGGGCCATGGACAAAAAACAAGCACCTTTCAAATACCTCCATGGAAAATTTTCAAGTTTAAGTGAAGCTAAGATAAAGGAAGGTCTCTTTGTTGGTCCTCAGATTTGTGAATTTCTTCAAGTTGATGTATTTGACCATGCACTGTGTGGCAAAGAAAAGATGACAGGGAAAGTATTCCAGTTAGTGGCAATAAATGTTCTCAGAAACAACAAGGCATACAGTACAACTACAGGTTGCCTCAAGACGTACAACAAGGCATGTTGCAACATGTCACTAAAGATACTTTTTTGCACTTTCCTATAGATATTTGCCACTGAACTGCAAAGCAGTGAGCAACAAGCATGATGAGCAATTTCACCAGGACATTGTAGCAATGGAGAAATACTGTCAGGGCAAATAGAAGCCATCAGTTTTTGCATGCTATGGCTGGACAAGAGATGCTCCATTTAATGAATGCAAGAGATAAGCCATGCCAAGTTGCCACTGAATAGAACTATATTATGTACATAGTAGGTTTTTGCCTTTTTCTTCAGAATAAATTTTATTTATATAACCCTTTTGCTGATTTTTTTAAAGAGTTACATAAACAGGGCAGGTGAAATATTATGTAAAGCAACCATAAACACATGAAAAGACCTAGGGTTACAATTTATTGTTAAAACTCTACTATCTGTACAATATACATAGATGTAAAATGTAAAAACTTAAATATTTTGGAAACAGTAGCCAATCAGTTGTTTTAATTGTCATATTTTAATTCAGCACATTAAAATACATAATAAATAGCACGTTTTATCTTTGAAGTACACAGCTTCTCAAAAATTATAGACCGGTGTTATCATAGAATTGCTCATCTTTTTTTAACCACTTGGTCATGTGTTTATACATGCAGCTCTTTCCATTTATTTCTGAAATCACACTATTATCCTTCTATAGAAACTGGATGACTTTGATGTGCGCCAGCTTTATGACTGCAATTGGATTGTAGTGAACTGCTCCACACCAGCAAACTTTTTCCATGTTATACGGAGACAGCTCCTTCTGCCCTTCCGAAAGCCGGTCAGTACAAAGAATGACTCTCCTAATATAAAAGGGCATGTGCTTTCCCTTCCCTCAATGTATCTTCCAGCTCTAATTAGGGACTAAAGTCATGTGGAGAGAGATAAAATGATGATAAGATGATTCTGCTCTCTTCTGTAGAGTCTTTTTGTTCTCTTATTTTTTTCATTGCATTATGCAAATACAAAGCCCTACTTTATGAAAAAAGGGAACTTGATACTCTAATCTAGAACCTGAAGCAAACTAAATGGATTTTACAACCCATGGGGGGATCCTGTTTATTCTGCAGCTGCAGGATACTTGGTATTTTTGGGAGCTCTGACTGATGTGTTACATGAATATCTACATGCAGACTTATTTCTGCTCCTCTTCAAACCAAATAGGTTGTGCTGCTTTCTTTAATAAACTCTAGTGTGGCCCCTCCACATTAATATCTTGGAGATTTTCAGTCAGTAATTGTATTGAGGTTTGTATTGATTATTTCATCAGAAAACACTATGTTTGTTTATTTAAATTAATGTCCTGGCTCTTTAATCACATCATCTAAATGAATTTTTATAGCAGATTGTGGTAAGACACATATGCCAAACTGCAACCCTTTTGATTGGACCAGAAGCAGAGTCCCTTCAGCTTCACAGTCTGTAGGCAGCCAGCAGTTGGAACACTGTCAAATCTGACAAATATAGAGATATAAGAACATTGCAATCAGATCAAAGAATTGTCTCCCCCAGCATTATGTCCCCAATCAGTAGTCACCATAGTCCTGACTTGCAGCTTTAAATAACCACCAGTAAGTATTCTTTGAACTGTAGAGCTGGAAGGGACCCTATGGATCATTAAGTTCATCCCCTGTCAGGGAGGCACAGTGAGGAATCGAAATCCCAACAACCTAAACCACTGAGCTAGAGGTTCCACTATGGTTGCTGCTAAACCTATCTTCCATAAACTTCCCTATCTTCCTAACATACTTTTAAAGATAAATAAGCTAATTATTCACACCACGCCCTCTGGTGATGCAATTTAGATAAGTAACATGTCTGTACCCTGATAGATGTGTATTCTCTATTTCTGCATAAACAGTACTTTTCTAGTAATCATGACTCAAATTCTGACTGCTCAAAAATGTAACAGCTGTGTTTGACTGACTGCAGATTATTGAACTTTCATTCATTAACAGCTGAACAGAACTGTAATAATTCAGTGTTTATTTAGGAAGTGTTTCTAGTCTAATTGCCATTAACCCCAAAAAATATCTTTTTCTTTTAGTTGATAGTTTTCACTCCAAAATCACTGTTGCGCCATCCTGAAGCTCGGTCGAACTTCGATGACATGTTGCCAGGTACAGAACGCTAGGTACTAGGTGCAGGGAAAGTCCTTATATTCTGCTGCCAGGAGGAAGATCCATGATTTGGTTATCAAACTGTCTTACCTGAGTGACAGTAAGGTGGTGGTGGTTATTTTGGATTTAAAGGACAAAATAAGCACACCAATGAGGAAAGGTTATAAAACTTTATTTAAGAGACAATGAAATAGGAAAAAACACAGTAGAAAAAACTCACCGAATAAATGATGATACAGTAGCAAGAGCAGTATAGTGCAAGGTAACAGTATAAAATAGCTCAGCAAAGAATACCACAGAGCCCCAAAGTACAAATTAATAGAATAAAAGCAAAATAAATGAGATATGACCTACATCCTTTCTGCTTACCAGGAATCTTTGGAAAACAGTCATGGCTGGTTCCAAGCCCATGTACATCACCAGCCCAGCATGGCCTGTACTTCAGGCTCCCCAAACAGAGCCTTGGAGGACCTTACATTCTTTTACTGCTGTCAGTACTTGTAAAGAGAGCAACTCACCAAGTGGTACTGTGAGAAGAAGAACTCTTACTATTTGGCAGAGTGATAGCAACATGATCAAATTAATGAGCAAAGGAGTATCATCAAATACACCCAGCACCAGGTGTCTGAAGTTAGACCCTGGCCTAATATAACCACATGTTTTCTATTGCCCTTGGCCTGATACAGCTGGGATAAACCTGCTTTTCCCAGTCAATCATTTTTCAGGTCATGCAGGGGCATGAGAAGAGAAGCAAAGCTGTGAAACCAAGCCACCTTCTAGAAAAGAATCCAGCAAAGGCTAGAGCAAGGGCTATCGACACAAACAAGCTTAGGCATAGAGGAAACACTGGTGAATACATACCACTATACCGTCTCATTATGACAAAGGCCCTCTGCATTGATACTACATAGATGAAGTGATAGCTTTGCTTATTGGGCAGCTGTATCCCAAAACCACACTTAACTTTTGTACCCTGCTTCTCAAATTTAGCTTAATCTAATAATTTGATCATCATATTGTTGGGGGGGGGAATGGTGACTCATTGCAGATTAGATTAGCAAAAATAATTATAACACATTGCCTTTCTTTCCTGCCTGCTTTTCCTACAAAGGCCTTTTACTATAAAGAGAACTTGAGTAGCATTGCAATTCTGAGCTTTCATTGCATACATTGACAATTGATGTCACCATGGCTCAGGGATAACCTGGTACAAGTAGCATCATATACAGAAACCAATGCTAGTTATCACTTACATGAGATCTGGAACCCCTTGAACCCAGGTCTAAGGCAATCCCTTTGAAGACTTCACATCTCTGAAAGGCAAGATGCTTGAGGAATGGTGTCTTGATACCTATTGGTGCCTCTTAAGAGAGCCATACAGAGGATCCTGTGCTACTTGTATCTGACCAAGGAACCTCACGTTCAGACTTGGCAGCTGGGAATGAATGTTACCAAACTAAAGTTGTACACTTTCTTTTGGTTCTGTATTAATTATAGAGTAGAGTAGCATCATAAAAGTTCAGTTTTGTTCATGTAAATGTTACAGCATCACTGAATAGACTGGGCAGTATCCATTAAATGGGAGTCATCCTTTTTAAAAAGTGTATTACTTTTAGGTGCATAAATCAAGACATGCTCAACTGAATCAGCTGCATATCTGTTTCCTATTGCCTCCACTTCACTGCCTTTGTTCTCTTTTCCTTGTGTTGAATTTTAGTTTGTAAGCTCCTCAGGCCAGGGCTCTTTATTCTTATACTCTGTAAAGTGCCATTCACACTGACAGTTTGGTGTAACTTCTATAAACAGCAATCTGTTCTCCATTACAGGCACACATTTCCAGCGCATCATCCCAGAAAGTGGTCTTGCTGCACAAAACCCTGATGAGGTCAAGCGAGTTCTTTTCTGTGCTGGCAAAGTCTATTATGATCTAACTCGAGAACGCAAAGCCCGCAGCATGGAAGCAGATGTAGCCATTACAAGGGTGGAGCAGGTAGGCCATGTCTGAGACGTATTTTTCTAAGTTACCAGTGTGGATCTACAGTATTATTTTCTAAGGTCCAAAGCCTATGTATGTCAAGAGTCTTGTTTTAAGTACTGTGCAGGAAGGAATTTTGGAAAGATGACTCTGCTGAAACTTCAGATTGATACAGTGGTGCCTTGCATAGCGATCGCTCCGTTGAGCGACGAAATCGCTTAGTGACGGAGTTTTTGCGATCGCAAAAGCGATCGCTTTGCAATGGTCCCTATGATGTTTTTTTGCTTTGCCATGATCGCGGGGAAGCGATCATGGCAAAGCGACCCTTTTTTAACAGCTGATCGGCGGTTTCAAAATGGCTGCCAGGAAAACAAAATGGCTGCCCGCTGTGTTTCCTCGCTTAAGAGGCAGCGAAAATGGCCGCCCCTATGGAGGATCTTTGCTTAAAGGTGAGTTTTTAGCCCATAGGAACGCATTAATCGCATTTTAATGCGTTTCTATGGGCTTTTTAATATCGCTTAGCAATGAAATCGCTTAGCAACTTTTTTTCAGAACGGATTAACGTCACTAAGCAAGGCACCACTGTATATCCAAATACACTACCCTAATGTTCCTTCTGAATATTTGTCTGGACAGAATAAAACAAACCCATGTTTCACATGATATCTGTGAATTTCAGTCAGCTGAGATTTTTACAGTGAGCATTTACAAGCTTCTTTCATAAGTGAAACTGTAGTCCTCCTTTTACTGCTTAGAACCTCTGAAGCAGTCCTGTTTTTCCTCCACTACATTTTGTCCGTGATGAACATTGGCTGCTCATAAGCCTTATGAACTCATTATCTTTTCCTCCCCCATTTTCTGTAGCTATCCCCTTTTCCCTTTGACCTCCTGTTGAAGGAATTTCATAAATATCCAAATGCAGACCTTGTTTGGTGTCAAGAAGAACACAAAAACCAAGGATATTATGATTATGTGAAGCCCAGACTTCGCACAACCATTGACCGTGCAAAACCAGTATGGTAAGTGACTCCTTCTCATGATCTGTAGATGAGGGTCAAGCTATGTATATTCACACTGAAAAGAGCAGAGGCATGTGCTCAAGCCTTTGTGTATGAGAGAAAGAAAGAATTAAAGACAGCATTACTAACCATAACTTCTAATTATTACTTGCAATGATAATATGCTGCAAAGGGATTGTCTTGAATTCCTGAATGGGAGTCTCCCTGTTGCATTGGTGGTCCAGGAACAGTCCTATTTTGTGGGGGGGGGGGGAAACAGAGGAGACATAGGTCTAACATGGGCAGACTCCAGGGAGAGCTGCAACCCAGACATTCCTTTCTGGCAGCTAGGGAAGGAAGGGAGGAACATGAAGCTTTGGGCACCAGCAGTACTTTGTAGAATCTCCCAGTTAGTTTGTGTGAGTGCAGATAAGCCTTTCAGTTAATCGCCCTGTCTTTTCCTCTCTCCTTGTTGTAGGTATGCTGGGCGTGAACCTGCTGCTGCACCAGCCACAGGCAACAAAAAGACTCACCTGACTGAACTGCAGCGCTTCTTGGACACTGCCTTCAACCTAGACTCATTCAAGGGCTTATTTTAGATATATTTTGGATCTGGCTCCACAGAGCACTGTGCGTGTGCGTGTGTTTCTTTTTCCTGCTCAGTTCTTTTCTATGTCTTTGACTGTAGATCCTGTAAACTAACTTAAGGCATCTATTATTAACTGCTTGTTGGCTGTTGAGGAACTGTGCTGCAGCTCAAACTTCTGGAATAGTGTGATGTCACTCCGGAAGTCCCCATATCCTTCCTGAAAGATCTGGAACTAGTCAGCTCCACTGCTCCAGAATCAAGGCTTTGGAGGGGCTGGCTTTTGCCTCCCAAATGAGTCTCTGTGTTGGAGACTATAGGCAGTGCCTGAGTCATAGTGTCTAACCCTGGTTTTGAACCCAAAACACAAATGTATCCACCTAACAGGAGAAGAGATGCCGTCTTCTTTTTCCTTCTCCTGACTCAATATAACTGTTTGCTTTAGCTCTTCAGTTGCACGAGATTTTCCTTTTCCTTCAGCTCCAAATTCCCAGCCCAGATGATCTTGGCCTGGCACCCCAGTCTTCACTGCATTTTCCTATGTTTAGGAACATAGCCAGTATGTTTAGCCTCATATTGATTGTGCAGATACTTTCAAATTCAGGCCATTTTTCTGCAGAAGGTTGATTTCCTTAAACAAAGGAGACAGAGTAATCCAGAAGGCACAGATCTGATTTCCTTGTTTAACAAAGCTGCCATCCTTGGAAATCCTCTGTCACTTCCTGGGTAGAAGTCTGTGTTAAAGGAATCTTATATATATATTCATATCATATGAGCCCTCAGGTTTGCTTAGTTTTGAGGCTCCAACTCTGTAATTAGAGAAAGCTGTATTTGGAAAGAATGAAAAATCATTGGTTCTCCACAAGGCAATTTCACTTTTGGGAAAATACATTATGAATGCCTCACCATGTTGTGTCCTTGCTCTTACCATGTCTACATATGGAACAGCAGCTCCATTTGAGACTGTAATCTGTCACTTGAGCACCAGGGTCAATTTTTCACCATTCACAGTTATATAGTCACCTTGCACACTTTTTTCTGAGATTCAGGTTGGCCAGAGGCCACTGTTTGCTGCATGTTTGCTTCGAATATTTCTTCCTGAACATTTACTTCACAGTATTAACTCTGCGTTTAATCTGAGCTGTCAAGTACTATTTGTGCATATGGCATTTGCAGATGTGGCATTGACTGAAATATGTTTGCAGGTTTTTTGAAAGCTAAAATCCTGTTTTTGTCTACATAAAACTTTAGACGAGACCTGCATCATGCCTGCCTAGTATTATTGATATACTCTGAAAACAACCATTTTTACGTCAGTGCACACAACTTTCTCTCTGGGTAGCATTTCTACCTGAGGTGCTACTTGGTCTGGATTCTTGTAGGTCTTTGAGCTAAGATTGTAAGCAGAGTTTATCTGTGCATGCACTTTTAACTTGAGAAGTAACAACCTGCTTCTTATTGAGGAACTGTGAGATTCAGGAACAAGACAAACACAGCCTATGTAGGGAGACCCTGCTTAATGAAAGCAAATCTCTTCAATGACTTTAAATGGACAATTTTAGAAGTCATTCCTCTCTCTGAGCTTTGCAACTTCTTTTGATTGTAGCCTTCTGTTTTTCTGGTGCTTCTCATATGTTGGAGTTCCTTCTGATTTTTCATTATATAACCCATTCCCAGACTACCACCCCTTTGAGGAACTAGAAAGTTCTCATAGTGTTCTGAGAATAGCTCGTTTGATTCTCTGCGAGTCTGAAATTGTCTATGTACACATCCATGCGCACAATGGAACATCTCAACTGCCCTTGGCAGTGATGGTGTAACTCATCTCTCACTTGAAATGCACAGACTAAAGAATAACCACATTTCAGCCCTCATGCACTTGTGGCACTTGGCCATCCTTTTTCACTGATAACTGGCAAATGCTTTCAGTCACAGGAATTATGCAGGGCTCTGCCAGCAATAGAATGTACTTCAATATTTTTCTGTCCCTCCCTTTTTATGTAACATCCTATGGTGAATGCAGCAGTGATTTTATTTGCCCAAGGCAGTTCAGGAGATAAAATCCTCAACCCAGTAGAGCCTGTCTTGAACACACAACACGTGGAATTGCACTTCCTTCTAAGCCTGTGTCTATTTTTTGTCAGTCTCATTAGCTTATGAACAGCTGCTGTCATGCCATATTGGAACCTATTTTCCTTTCCCAGCCAGCTGATGTTCTCAGCTGTCTTCTGTGAGAAATGTCCAACTCTCCATCAATCTACTTAATCTCCCAGTCACTACTGAAAGAAATTACAGCTTTTTCTATTCCCTGGCTTGCTTCTGTGTCTGCTGCCACCCATACCAAAAGTATGTGCCATCTTGTGAATAAAGATTTTTCTATTACATAAGTATCCATGCTGCTTCACTAGTGGAACCAGCATGCTTCAAAAGTGATGTCCTCTGTTCCAAGGGAGGCTGTCAGGATTCTTGTGTTTATGGTTACTCCAAGCCCACCTGCAAAACAGTTCCCTTAGCTCAGCTAAATAAATAAGTAAACTTGAGTCTAACTTATGCCAAAACATGAACTAGTGAAAGTGGGAAGTTGTCTATACTAGGTTTGCACAACTCTGGAGCTCCCCTCAGACTTGCAGCTTGTTGTGATTATTTTGGTTTTAAAATGAGAATCAGAGACTGTCTGGCTTAAACAATAAAGCCTGAACTTCTGTCCAAAGCATGTGCAGCTTACTCAGTTGTCAGATTTGCAGTCTTCTACGAATGCAACAGCCCCCTTTGGAGGACAGGTGGAATGGAAATCAGTAAAGGTCTGTTCGGTCTACAATCCTGTAAACTAGTTGACAAATGTTTTATAAAATGAGTTGACAACAATGGCAGGGAAAATGATATTATCTGAGTTATTTGTTACGGTTGGTATACAATGTTGCCTCCTTGACTCTGTATGAGAGACCACCTGTCTCCCAAGCAGTCTCACTAAAAACTCCAGTCTCTATGAAGTGTTCATACCTGCAGGAGGATTGCGTGGTCTTGTTAAGCACTTTACAACCTTGTGTTTTGTGAAGAAACGCAGTGGTAAATGTTTGATCCTACATCAGAGGGAATGCAGACCTGTTGTTGTAGTATCTCAGTGTCTGGAGGTTCTGCTACTGCTACTGAAGCCTTAATTCTCACAGGATTGTGAGGGCGATTGCCTATGAAAAATAACATGGGTTTTAGAAAAGGAAAAATACAATTTGGAGACTTGCAGATGGTGCTTCTGGTAAGACAAAATATGTAAAGCAAAAGCAAAGCAAAGTGTGCTGCTTATATAGTGCCCCATAATGCTTAAACCTCTCTCATGGCTTACAATTTAATTATGCTGGCTATACCTTTGCCTACTCTGCCCCCACACCAATGAACTGAGTACCAATCTCGGAAGGATGACCACCTGAGTCAATGTTTATCTCGCTACCTGATCCTGAGATTGAACTCAGGTTATGAGTAGAGCATCTACTGCTTCAGCTGTAGCTGGCACTCCTGGGTTTCATTACAGCATAGTTGGCTTTATTTGTTCAAAGGAGTCAGTGTCCATATTGGTATATTTTGCAAGTAATTTCAAGGTTTCTGTCACTTTGCCTTTGGGTAGCAAGCATTAAGGGTAACATACCCTGACTTTGCAAGATTCAAACATAGAACTAGAACGTTAAGAGAAACGAGAGGTTCTTCTGAACTGTTCACCCAGAAGTTGACTTGTTTAGTGGCAAAAAGTATAATAGCATCAAGAATTGGCACCATTAAATTAAGACCAAATTTGGTTATAATTAGAGCAACCATTTCATTGATAAGTCTTGGCCAATAGGTTTGAGTCAAAACCTATATTTGGTAAACATGATTCCTTCTCACTTCTCAAGGAATTCTCCTACTATAATGAGCTTGTTACAATCCATACGTCATTTAAAACCCAATAATCTTCTCTCACATTTAGGTAAGCATATTTTTAATTATTTCAATAAACTAAAGGCTTCCCTGTAAGTGCCCTAACTATTGTAATATGATGGATGTAGCCAGAATTTTTTTGGTTCAAATCTTGCCCCGTACGGCACTTTTTATATAGGTGAATTAATTTTTGAAAGGCATCACTTAATGCATGTACAATGGGGCCCACATGAGGAGCCCATACCACCCTTAAGGCTGTTTCTGTGGCCCCTGGCCTTTTACGGTCCCTTTCTAAAAACCGGCTTTTCCCCAGAAGAAGAAGGTTAGAAGACCAAGGAGCAGCAATCTAACTTAAAGAAAGATCATCATAGTCTCCCACCCAGGTTTTACTACCCCAAACCACCTGCATTTCAAAACTGGAGGAAGATTTATGGCTACTTCTGATTCTTCTTTGTGGTCTCTGTGAATGCACAAAAAGGGTTAATCTGCAACCTGCACAGGACTCTTCGGAACTTTCTAGAGCTTAAAAACACGTGATTATTGGCACGTTCTCCCACAGAGCGCATGCTCCGTCCGTCAAAAGGTCCCTCTGTTCCTTTTAGCTGCCGCTGAGGCTAGACTCCTTCACAACAACTAGAGCAACTTTTTCATATTGCAATTTTCAAACTAGAGCAACTTGTTCATATTGCAATCTTCAATCTCTATTCTCTGACGGCCATGATCATTGTCTCTTTTGTTTGGGGGAACAGCACCAAACTCACTCCTGTCCAGAGTGTAAGAGACTTAAATTCCGCCTGCAGCATCTTTGGTCTTTCCTGAGGGAAAAGTCCCTCAAACCTTCCAACCCTACAATTATGGAATCTACCTTGATGCCCATTCCAAGATCAGATTTGGCAGACCCGGTGTCGGCCCTGACCATGCCGTCGCCAAAACAGAAATCAACTTCCAAATCTTCCTCGAAGTCGAAATCAGCGTTGAGCTCAAAGCCATCCTTGACACGGGCTCAAGAATCCTCTCCTAAATGAAAGAGATGAGGCTAAGTAGAAGAAGGCTAAATGTCCTTCTAAGCATAATCAATCACTGGAGCCTCCTTCTCATCAACCAACTCTTCCATCTCCGATTCTAGAAGAGTCTTCCACAGAAGTACCTGATTCTTTGTCAGAGGTGGACAATCCTCTCCCACTACCTCTGGGTCAGGCTCTGACCTCTCTACTGAGCATCTCGCCCAGTCATGGCCCTTCGATGGCTGATGTTCTTTCCAGCCCCGCCTCAGCCCATATGAGCCCTGCATCCACAGGGTGGGCAACAGTAATTCAGCTCTCCAATTCTGACTCCTCCTTATGACAGCCACCTCCTCGCAAGTGTCTGGCAAAGCGGCACCATCTCTCACCTTCATATCGAGAGCCTCCACATCGGGAAATCTACTATCTACATAAGCCCTCTCGATGCCGATACCCCCCCCAAGACTATTGGGAGACTTACTATGGAGATAGACGACACTGAGAGGACGACGTCGACCTATATTGTGAGGCTTATTATGAAGAACCAAAGAGGATACGCTACGACTATGCCTATCCTTTTGAGTGTTTGCTCCCTGGCGTCGACATCATAGTCACTCTTCAAAGCCTCAGCCCAACCCGGTTGTGTCAATGCCATCCAAGTCATGTCTCAGATGTTGCCTGGAATCTGCCCACTCCAGATTCTGATGTGGCTGACAATCATCCGCCTTCACCATCTGAAGACGTCACCTCATATTCACAACTGGTTCTATGTATGGCAAAATCCCTCAAGCTCAAGGTTGAGCAGCCACCCCACTAAAGCAAGACCTCATCTTTGACAATATTAACCAAGACAAATCTCCACCACTCAGCCTAGCCTTCATTCCAGCCATGCTAGAACTCATAAGGGTCTTGGGACAAGCCATCCTCTTCCCTCCAAATTTCTATATAAGTAGAGAATATTTACAAAACCCACGGGGGTGACACTGCATTTCTCACTAAGCATCTGCCACCTAATTCAATCATTATCAAGTCCAATCAGTCTCAGGCTCAAAACTGCTTATTGGTAGCCCCTACTGATAGAGAAGCCAGGAAGCTAGACATCCTTGGCTGTCGTCTAGCATCCTTCATTATGCAGGTTGCCAATTACCAAGCGGCCATGGGGGCCTACCACAGGCAGTTCTGGAACAAAGTTCTTCCCATTCTACAGGCCTCCACAGAAGATTCCAGGGCACTCAACGTACATTTTGAGAGGACCACCCTTGCAAAACAATAGTGCATAGCGGCACGCCACATTGCTGATGCAGCCTCTAAGTCTATGGCAACAGCTGTTGCATTTCACCGGCATGCCTGGCTTTGTTCGGCTGGCATCACTGATGATGCCAGATCCCGTATAGAAGACCTCCCCTTTGACTGAGTGGGTCTCTTCAACGACAAAACGGATGAGGTTATGGACAACCTCCATAAAATTTAAAAAAAAATAAATCTTACTCCACACAACAACCATACAGATACCAGTGCACTCAGTGGTGGTGCCCTTCCAGCTTTCAACAGCCATATCAACAACGGTCATATCGCCAATACAAACCTCCTGCTACCAATAGGTCATATCCTGTGCCGTTCCCCTCCGCACCTCTGGCTTTCTTGTCTCAGGCCCCGGGTCAGTGTCGATAGCCATTCCATCACCCTGCAAAGAAGGGCAAACAATATCTTTGACTTCCACCAACCCAAGATCCACAATACACTTTTTCATACCCGTCCGTCCCCTTTCTTTCACAAATGGTCCCTCATCACCAATGACCACTGGGTGCCATCCATCATTTGCTGTGAATACTTTCTGGAATTCATAGAACTTCCACCTACAGGCCGCCTAAGGCATACCCCATACTCACCTGCTCTCCAAGAAGAAGTATCACTCCTTCTTCAGAAACAAATCATCCAAAAAGTTCCTGTACGTGGCCTCCACACCAGTTTCTATTCTCTGTACTTCACTGTTCCTAAACAAGATAGGGGCATCCGTCCTATTCTGGATCTAAGACATCTCAACACCTATTTTCAACCAAGGCGTTTTTGGATGGTCGCTCTCAACACTCATTCCGCTCTTCTCTGACGACTGTTTTGTCATCATAGATTTTCAGGACGCATATTTCCACATCTTCATTCACCCACGCCATCACAGATACGTCCACTTCACTTTCATGGATTCCACTTACCAATTCTGCTCCCTTCCCTTCGGACTTTCCACCGCTCTGAGGACTTTCACAAAATGCCTCGCTCCAGTAGCCACATACCTTTGTCTACACAATATAACAGTTTTCCCTTACATAGATGACTGGTTAATTGTTGCAGAATCTTACCACAAGGCTTGAAGAGATACTTCCTTCACTCTTCAGACTTTGGTGGACCTCGGGTTCAAGGTCAATTTCAACAAATCCCATCTTGAACCCTCCAAACTATGGAGTACATCAAAGCTCATCACGACTCTACAGCCAGAGCTTTCCTCCCTCTCAAGAGGATACTCAAACTAAGGGATGCCATATGCCCCTTTCAACCTTTCACTTCAGTCTCAGCTCATCAGACTCAGCGCCTCCCCGGCCTCATGGCCTCAACCACATCAGTGCTTCAACACGCCAGGCTCAAAATGCAGTCCCTTCAAGCATGGTACCTGTCTCTATTCAAGCTGACTACAGACCACCCTTCAAAACCCCCTTTTAGTGACTCTGGAACTGGCAAATCAACTCACTTGGTGAACTTTTGCTCCACATCTCACTGTCGGTCGCCCCTTCTGCCCACTTCAACTCACCATCCAAGTCACGACAGATGCCAGCCCCACAGTTTGGAGTGCACACTGCGACAGTCACAGGATCCATGCCTTCTGATCAAAGAAAGAACAAATGTCACACATCAACCATCTAGAACTGCTCACTGTCATCAAGGCTTTCTGTGCCTTCCAGTGTCTCATAGTGGGTCAAGCAGTTCAGGTTGCCACAGACAATGTGACTACCTTCTGCTATGTCAACAAACAAGGAGGCACTCATTCCCTTTCTCTCCTCTACCTTGCAGTTCAGCTCTGTGAATGGTGCTATATTCATCAGGCGTTTCCCGTTGCAGTCCATGTTGCAACCGAAGATGACATAGCAGACCACCTGAGTCGTCTTACCACTCACACCCACAAGAGGGTCTTGGAGGCTGCTGTTTTCCTCCAACTTTGCCACCGTTGGGAGATTTCCACTCTCAATACTTTGCCACGGAACACAACCCAAAGTGCGACTACTGTTCCTGAGCTGGAAAGGGCACAAATTTTCTGGGAGATGCATTCATGGTAGGCTGAGGAACAGGCCTCCTCTACCTCTTCCCTCCCATTCCTCTCATCCAAAGAACAGTGATCCAACTCTGTCAATTCCAATTGAACACCATCCTCATAGCCCCATGGTGGCCCTGCCAGCCTTGGTTCACTCCACTGAGAGCCATGTCATCTGACTTCCTTCAACTTCCTCTCCACCTTCACTTGCTGACACAGCACAGCGGCAGAGTCTATCATCCTGACTTGGACTCGCTCCACATCACGGCATGGAGGATTCCCCCTCCATAGCTGCTGCTTTAGATAAAGCCAGGAAACCCTCCACTAAGTTGTTGTATTCCTACAAGTGGAGGACCTTTGCTGCCTCCAAGGGTCTGCCTACAATACCATTCTCGTTGGAAACTCTTCTCACTTTCCTCCTACATCTGTTTAACCAGGGTCTCACCCACTCCACTTTGAAGGTCTCTATTTCTGCCATTGTGGCTCACCAACCAACTGGGTCAGAGGCTTTGCACCTCTTTTCACACCCGACCTTAAAGAGATTTCTCAGGGGCCTTCCGAACATTCACCCTCTTCAGAGACCACCCCTTCCCAATGGTCTCTCGAACTTTGTGCTCCACGTTCTCACTCGCCCTCCTTTCAAGCCTCTTCCCATGGCTCACCTCAAGCTCCTGTCCCTCAAGGTGCTGTTTTTGGTTGCTATCACATCTACTCTCCAAGCCAGCAAGCTGGCAGCTCTCAGAGCCAATGCCCCTTATCTTCAACTTCATTCTGATAAGGTCACTCTCTATCCTGATATTTCCTTCCTACCTAAAGTTGTTTCAGACTTTCACCTCAGTCGGCCTGTTATCCTTCCATCTCTCTTCCCTTCTCCGTTATCAGATCTCAAGCGCATACTACATATTCTTGGCGTCAGATAATCCATAGCTTTTTATGTCTCCAGGACAAAAGACTTTCGAAAATCTCCTCGTCTTTTCCTTTGTTACCATGGACCACACAAAGGTTCTCCAGCCTCATCGCAGATGATCTCTAGGTGGATAATCCAGGTCATTGCCCTGGCATACAAGCTGGCTGGTAAGCCCCCACCAGATATTCTCAAAGCACATTCCACCAGAGCCATGGCTACGTCTACCATCCTACTTGGTGGTATTAACATCGCCAACACCTCTCGAGCTGCCACTTGGTTTACACTCTCAACATTTATCATTCATTACTGACTGGACGTCAGAGCCAAGAACTAAGCTGGCTTTGGCAGGGCCGTTCTTACTTCACTTCTAATGTGATGTCCCACCAACTGGTAAGTTAGCTTGCTAGCCACCCATTTGTGTGCATTCACAGAGACCACGAAGAAGAGAGGTTACTTACCTGTAACCATGGTTCTTCAAGTGGTCCTCTGTGAATCCACACATCCCGCTTGTCCTCTTCTCTGTCATGTTGTTGTCTTCATTTTCTTTGACAGCGGTGGACTTCTTTAGGAACTGAGGGACCTTTCAATGGGGGCGGAGCGTGCACTCCACAGGGGAACGTCCCACTAATCACGTGTTTTTAGTTCTAGAAAGTTCAGAGGAGTCATGCACACTTGCAGATTAACCCATTCATGTGGATTCACAGAGGACCACTCGAAGAACCATGGTTACAGGTAAGTAACCTCTCTTTTTGTTGTCTTTCATTTTTCTTCATTTTTGGCAGTACACTAGTGGTAAGACAC